AAGGTTTCTGTCAATCCTTAAAAGAAAAATTTAAATTGTGAATTTTACAGCCATGTTGACATTTATACATTATACTCACTCCCCCCTTTTACACATGAAATCATGTGTAACAAAAGCCTGTAATGGGAGGGGAACAAAAACTGTCAGGTAATTGGTTAGGGACATAACGAACATTATTATCATTATTTCCACAGTGAACACTTCAGTGAATAGAAGTGTTCCTCTCCGTCCTTCAGGCCTAAAAGAAACAGAATCTTCAGATTGTAGTTTTACATTTGCAAACCGCCAACTCATGTGAGAGGAAAATATCACATGTGCGGTTTCCCCTTTTTGTGGAATTTTTAGGAAACCTCTCGTTTCCCTTGGAGCTCCAAAATAATATGTTAGTCCAAAAACATGCTTGGTTAGTTATTGTTTTAGAATCATGCAGTTACACTGATCACATGCCGGCATACATTCACACTCACACTGTCTGGTTGTCATGTCAAGTTTGGTCAGGTTCACCCCAGAGTCAGTCATCCACAGTGCCTTGTCAGTTACACTGTCGGTCAGGGTCAAAGGTCAGTTGGTCTCCGTCTTTTTGGCCATGTGTCGTGCTCTGCAGAGACTTTGACATTTCAGCATAGGCCAGTATCCTTTGTCTACAAAAATATGTCACGATTTCAACTATAATTTTCAAGATGATTCTCACTTGTCATTGGGACTTCTGCCTCCCACCTTTCCTGAAACTTGGTACAAAACTCACTTCCTTCGAATACCACTACTACTGCAATCCAATTACACCTAATTAGTATTAAAATGTCTAATGATCTATTTCAGAAACTTGTGTACATAACTATTATCTTGAGTCAAAACATTACTAGGATCTGTGTCGCTCTGCATTTCATAGCTCATTATAATTCTGGTCTACTTAAAAAACGATGTTAAACTCTTTAGCAGTGTGTGGAACCTTGGGTGTCCGAACATGCAACAATTACTCCCTCCTTTATCAAGGATTTAAAACCGAAGTCTGGTAATAACTATGCTACAATGGTGAAATCAACACTCTAGATTGGAATTTAATATGTGGCTTGGCACTAGCCATTAATACAAACAAAGATTTGTCCTATAGAGTGGTTCCTAAAACTATCCTTTTAATGGTGATCAATATTGTAACCAATGAGATCACTACTTTATTCACACGTGAATAAAAATGTCTTAAAGAATGATTTGTTAACCTGATGAAAATATTGAAGAATATGGTTATACTCTGTCAGTGTGTTTTAGGATGATTATCATTTTACTTTAATAGTTTCCTCTTTACTGCTATTTTTAATTTACCAAATGATTAATAAATCTTTCTGTCTTTATGAAGTTAATTCAAGTTATTTAAATGTGCATTTCGTGAATAAGTGTGTTTATGTGTAACTCACTCATTCCCGTTCTCCTTTCCTCCTCCCCTGGTTTTCTCAAGCCGTGACCCCGGCCTCCTCACTTCTAATCGACCATGCCAACTCCTCTGATTCTGTCTTCTCTTCAGTCCATCAGCTGTTGAATCCATCCGCTGTAACTTTTGTAGGCAGCCATTGGCCCAGTCACATCTGCAGCCCCATCATGCCACTGTTGTTGCACTCCTCCTTTACAGTCTCTCTGCTGTTTTTATGGAGGGCGGATTCTGCTCTCATGTTTATTGTGCCAAATCTCGCGGCGCAGTTTGGAACTTCATGTCCTGTTTGAGGGACCGATGAGAGTTTGCCTCTTTGTCAGCATGCTGGTTTGTTTCTGGATGCCTCAGGTCGTTGTTGTTTCAGCTCTGGTTCTCTGTCTGTTCGATGGAGAAGGAGGAGTCTCCTGTTGGGTTAGGTCTCGTTGTCTGCTTGGAGGGTCGGGATCAAAGCCTTTCTAACTCAGAGGGGGAGTCCAGGTCCCGGTACACATTACCTATAAGAAGTCTAGCCCACTGATGTTAAATAAATCCAACCCTTTCCACTCTGTCTCTTTCTAATCATACTATCTGTCTTAGTTGTTAAATGCCATCTAAACAACATAATTAATGTCTACTTATGATATTACAAAAACTCACTCCAAAAATGGTTTCATCCATTGTTACATATTTACCCAACACAACTCTGAAATACTTACATGTTTCCAGCATCACATATTCTACACACTATGAAAGAACATCTCCATATCTTCTCTCATTTTACATCCCACTGTTACTTCGAACAATAGTAAACCTGCAGGGCACACCAATCGGATCACAGTAATGACATTTGAATCAAGTGTAGGCCTATGTCTTCTTTCTGAACATTTATTTATATTGTCTAAATTTGCAAACAGTTCGAGTGTAAAATGTGTTTTGCACAATGTATTTACACTCTACAGATTCTTGAGTTTACTCATCTCCTGGTGCTGTCGTTGTAAAAAATGTTCAATCCCTTATTGTTTTGTACCAGTTTTCCAAAATCAGTTATAATTAATATACTGGGAACGTGCTTCCCGTCTTCAATACCGGCCAGCAATGTAATGATTAAACTCTAAGCTCGCAGAAGTTTCAAGGGTGTGATACCCCCCTTTCAGCCACTAGATGGCAGCAGCAGAAGTTTCAAGGGTGTGATACCCCCTTTCAGCCACTAGATGGCAGCAGCAGAAGTTTCAAGGGTGTGATACCCCCCTTTCAGCCACTAGATGGCAGCAGCAGAAGTTTCAAGGGTGTGATACCCCCTTTCAGCCACTAGATGGCAGCAGCAGAAGTTTCAAGGGTGTGATACCCCCTTTCAGCCACTAGATGGCAGCAGCAGAAGTTTCAAGGGTGTGATACCCCCTTTCAGCCACTAGATGGCAGCAGCAGAAGTTTCCAGACAAAGGGAAACGCTCTACCTTGGTTTAATATATAACAGACCTCTGGCTTTAAGCTTTTAGCATTGGTCTGTTATTTAAACCCCAGTTTTAAACGGCGACTCGATCTGATCTATCGAGTTTTCAGGTTTTGCCGTGCAGGAATCAAACCTCGCATAACAAACTGCACCATCTCTACGCCACTCAGGAATAAACACCTGCAGATCCGCGCCAAACTGCTCTATTTTACGTCACGCAGGACTTTCGTCTACCTGTCGATCAACGTTTACGTTTTGTATATAACTTTCCTAACATAGTAAAATATGCATTGTATATTCCATTTAAACTATAAAAACACTGTGAAACGCCTACAGACAATCCTAAAGTTTTAGCGTATCCAATTACAGACAGGCGACTTTCATCGTCTGCTTACCTTATTTGCAGAGTTGCAGAATCCTGCTGATTGTCTGAGATGTTTGAAAGCGTCTGAATTCTTCCTCAGCTTCGTTATATCTAGACGTCGGGTCACCATTTTGTTGGAGATTAAAGGGATATCTGATCCGCTTTTCAAATCTCCGCGCGTTCCTATGAAGCTGGTTATAATACAGGAAGGAATCCATATCTACAAAGTAACCGTTAACAATAATCTACTTTAATGGCAATATGACAATGCAATACAATCATTACAATACAACATGATATATTACAGTTATATTGTAATGCTTAAGGAGTAATGCCGGCTTACTCCTGCCCTAGTTCGCATACTGCAGAGCTACTTTCACCCGAGGGCAGCATGTGAAGAAGAGGCCGAACGCCAGGGATCCACCGGATATATACCAGAGTAAGAAGGAGGGGTTTGGTGTTAGGTCAGCTGGTCATCTTTTCAGGTCATCTCATTGGGAGACGCAACGCAGCAGGAAACGCAGCAGGAAACCAAACAGGCTCACTTTACAACAAAAGGTCTCAAGGCCTGCATACCCACACCTCCCCCACAGAGCCATAAAACCCTGTTTACTCCAACCAGCCCAGAATGTTTATAGCCATTTGTAGTCCTTACATTTATGAAAGGATAAAACAGAGAAATCAATATAAAACACAAACACAGGTATTGTTTGAACAGTATTCACTTAACTGCTACTGTTGATAAGCACCAGAGAAACCCAAGGGACCTCTCTTAACATCACAACCACTGTAGCTCGTTCTAAGTTGAATGCAAATCAGGACATGCTCTCACCTTCCCCCATCTTCCTTTGTCCTCAAAAACACATGTCAACAGGCCCCAAATCCAGCTCACAGTTTTACCCAAATTATTCCCATTTTAAGCTTATCCATAGTTTGCTAACATGAATAAATACAAATATAACTCTACATTATTTAGAGAGCTAGCAACTCAAATTGCCTTGGAATTGAAATTGAGTGAAGGACTGAGCACTGTAGTTTCTCAGCAGTGTATATTGCAACACCACCAGCTCTGCCCTTACGATCCGCTCTGAATACATTAGATCCATCAATGTGAATAACAGAGTCAGTGACAGACGGTTTTAACCAGGTTTCAGAAACTACAACAATATCAGGCTTAGCAACTAAAAAGCAGGTCTTGAAAACATCTAATGTGGGCACTGGCTTCTAGCATTAACATGCAGAAACCCCAATCCTTGCCTACAGCTAAACTCATTCGGAGAAGGAAGCAGAGAAACACTCAGGACCAGGGTTCATGTTAACGTTACCAGAGAGTAATAGCAGTAACAATATTAACAGTCTGGAAGATGATTTTTTTCACATGGGCTCTGGACGCGTCGCTCCTCAGGGGGGCGGGGCTGCTCCGATCCTTCGATGTTAGCGAGTCCAGAGTCAAAAGGGCGGAGAGCGCATTTCGTGCCATGAAACGTCAGCTTTTGGTAAAAACTATCCGATGGAGTCAACGCTCCAGAGGTTCCACCATCCGAGTGTCCGAAGTGAACAGAGTTATCGCTGGGAGGCAATCCGTCAGCTTTGCCGACATGTGGGCTGACAATTAATCCCAGAAGAAGAACGAACACGAGGGTAGCTTTAGGCGACATTGTGCTGCAACACACCTAGTTCAGGATCAGCAGCTCAGGTGGATCAGCAGCTCAGGTGGATCAGCCCCCGACAGCACGGCAGGACAGACAGCCATCCAGAGTCCGAAAGAGCAACAGCTCAGGCAGAGAGCAAACAATCCAGTCACAGCGAGGCACCGGCACAGAAACTTTTAAAAGTGCAGCAGACCAATTAAGAAAAACGGGTCTAAAAAGCGAAATAAAAATGATATGCCCTGAAGGGGGGACCATCACTGGGAACCAGTCCTCAAACCTTCTTCCAGCTCTACTTCTTCTTCTTCATCACCTGTGGGATCAAAAACATGTGATTAAATCAGAGATCACAGTGAAACATGTTTTAATCAGGGCTGTCAGTCGATTAAAATAGTTAATCGTGATTAATCGCACATTTTTGATTTGTTCTAAATGTACCTTAGAGGAATATTTTTCTAGTTTTTAATACTCTTCAATCATGTTGCACTATCCGTGCTGAGTGTGCTGACTTCTCGTACAATGTCCCACTGTCTGGCTTCCTGCATAAAGTCAAGTGCTCGGCGCAGTTGTGGCGAAATGTCGCTCCTCTGTTTTCATTTAAACAGCTCCTTATATCCGTTAGCGCAGCTAGCTAGCACCAGATGCTAACAACAACAATGCACGTAAGGTCTCTCTCTCGCTCGCTCGGGCCACACACACACACACCCTCCCGGTCCTCCCGATGGCCAGTCGGTGCCTGCCGGTGAGCGTGGAAGTGTGGTCTGCCACAAGCGGGCGGCAGGAGCGGGCTGTCAGCATCAGCTTGTAGATGGTATTTTAAACTCGATGCTCTGAAACTACGGGGCGGCCGAGGGAAAAAAATACACATGCGTTAATCGCGTTAAAATAATTAGTGGCGTTAATTTTTTTTTGCGTTAACGCGTTATTAACGCGTTAACTTGACAGCCCTAGTTTTAATACAATATGTTCATTTAGTGAAAGCTAAAGTCAAGTGTGTCTTTGTGACGGATACATGTGAAAACCCATACAGTGTATATATAAAATGAACACACCATGTGTTATAGGGCTGCTCAATTAATTGTATTTTAATCGCGATTACGATTATGGCTTGCAACGATTACGAAAACAACGTAATCGAAATAAAACGATTACTTTTTATTATTATTACTTTTTTTTTTGGTTTTTCAGTTGAATTATACTTACAGTTCAGGGTAATCAACTGTTCAAAAACAAATTCTCCAATAAATGGATGTTTTCAAAGTCAATGAATAATCGCAATTACAATGATTGACCCAAATAATCGAGATTATGATTTTTGCCATAATCGAGCAGCCCTACTGTGTTATGGCAAAAGTAAAACCCAACCAGCCAGTGTAAGTCAACAAACCCTTATTCTACAAAATACAATTACTTTTATTGACCTTTTCAGACTTCCACGAAGGTTGTCATCATTTACAGACCCACGAAAAACTGAAAACGGGTACTGAAATGTTAATGATCATGAAGTGTTGCGTCATTGTCGATCAATCAGATCCCTGATTAGAGATTTCAAATATAATCCATCTCTCGTAGTCGATAAGGAAAAAATAAATAACACTCAAACTAGGGACAGAAATCTAATCAAAAGTTTACGTCAGCATCTCCACTACGTGCTGCTGTTGATTATCAGCAGATGATGAGTCTTTGTCATGCCTGCAGCCTCATATGCAGCCTGCACTCAATGTAAGCAGATTGCCCAGCCATGTGCGCTGCACAAGCTACTACAAGAGGCCTGCTGGCAGGGGGAGATCAAGTGCAGAGAGAAAAACTCCACAGGATACTTCAAAAAAATAATATGTGCCCTGTAAAAACCCTGAATGGATTTGTCTGTGTGAGCGTTTACCTTGCGAGCACTAGACGGTCCAGGAGACTTTGCAGACCTGCTGGTGGCTTTCGGTCCTTTAGTGGCTTTGGGGGCTTTCGGTGCTTTGGGGGCTTTCGGTCCTTTAGTGGCTGTCTGTGCTTTGGGGGCTTTCGGTGCTTTAGTGGCTTTCGGTGCTTTGGGGGCTTTCGGTCCTTTAGTGGCTGTCTGTGCTTTGGGGGCTTTCGGTCCTTTAGTGGCTGTCTGTGCTTTGGGGGCTTTCGGTGCTTTAGTGGCTGTCTGTGCTTTGGGGGCTTTCGGTCCTTTAGTGGCTTTCGGTGCTTTGGGGGCTTTCGGTCCTTTAGTGGCTGTCTGTGCTTTGGGGGCTTTCGGTCCTTTAGTGGCTGTCTGTGCTTTGGGGGCTTTCGGTGCTTTAGTGGCTGTCTGTGCTTTGGGGGCTTTCGGTCCTTTAGTGGCTGTCTGTGCTTTGGGGGCTTTCGGTGCTTTAGTGGCTGTCTGTGCTTTGGGGGCTTTCGGTCCTTTAGTGGCTGTCTGTGCTTTGGGGGCTTTCGGTCCTTTAGTGGCTGTCTGTGCTTTTGGGGCTTTCGGTGCTTTAGTGGCTGTCTGTGCTTTGGGGGCTTTCGGTCCTTTAGTGGCTGTCGGTGCTTTTGGGGCTTTCGGTGCTTTAGTGGCTGTCTGTGCTTTGGGGGCTTTCGGTCCTTTAGTGGCTTTCGGTGCTTTGGGGGCTTTCGGTCCTTTAGTGGCTGTCTGTGCTTTTGGGGCTTTCGGTGCTTTAGTGGCTGTCTGTGCTTTGGGGGCTTTCGGTCCTTTAGTGGCTGTCGGTGCTTTTGGGGCTTTCGGTGCTTTAGTGGCTGTCTGTGCTTTTGGGGCTTTCGGTCCTTTAGTGGCTGTCGGTGCTTTTGGGGCTTTCGGTCCTTTAGTGGCTGTCGGTGCTTTTGGGGCTTTCGGTCCTTTAGTGGCTGTCTGTGCTTTTGGGGCTTTCGGTCCTTTAGTGGCTGTCGGTGCTTTGGGGGCTTTCGGTCCTTTAGTGGCTGTCGGTGCTTTGGGGGCTTTCGGTCCTTTAGTGGCTGTCTGTGCTTTGGGGGCTTTCGGTCCTTTAGTGGCTGTCGGTGCTTTGGGGGCTTTCGGTCCTTTAGTGGCTGTCTGTGCTTTGGGGGCTTTCGGTCCTTTAGTGGCTGTCTGTGCTTTGGGGGCTTTCGGTCCTTTAGTGGCAACCGTCTTTGAAGCTTTTCCTGGGGATTTCCGAGTGGAGCTGGGTGGTTGGTTAATATTTTCCGGAGTGCTGAACATCATTGACTGCCTCAGATCAACCTAGAGAATAATACAAGGGTAATTGTTAGAAAAACATGCAAAACATTGTATGAATCCTTTTGTTCCATAAAATGACATATATGTCATATTTTCTGTGTGTGTGTGTGTGTGTGTGTGTGTGTGTGTGTGTGTGTGTGTGTGTGTGTGTGTGTGTGTGTGTGTGTGTGTGTGTGTGTGTGTGTGTGTGTGTGTGTGTGTGTGTGTGTGTGTGTGTGTGTGTGTGTGTGTGTAATATTTCACTCACTGGACTGAAGGTGGTTCCAATCTGAGAGTACAAAGGCTCCCTCATCACGTTCACTGGAAAGAAGGCGGTTGGCTGAAAGTTGAAAGGCTCCCTCATCACGTTCTCGGCTTTGGGAGTGAGTGGTCGCGGGGGAGAGCTGGCCCTCACCTTTTTCTGTCAGATGGAAACGTGGAAATACAAGTTGGGAGAAGATAAAGAGGATTTCAGAAAGTTACATTTCAGAGTAACTTCATGTTAAGAGTAAGCGTTCAGATAACCAATGAATAGGCAAATGTGGTGTTCAGGCAAGACATGAAATACGATCAGCTACTTTATAGTTCATTGTAAAAGATAGCATAGAAAAAAGGTTTCAAAACTAATGACATTATGAACAACCTTATAATGTAAGGAAACATGAGTCAAACATAAAGTTGTACAAAACAAACTAAAATGGTAGCCTATGAAACATTCCTCATGTCACTTCAGTCAGGCTCTCACATGAAGCAACATGTAACGAATACTCCTGCAGGACGCCAACCAACCTGAGGCGAGGGATGGTGTACGAACAACGTTGATGAAGACCGCTTGGTGCCTCTCGCGCTGCTCGGCTGGGAGAATACAAATAAATACTAAATTAACACTCTAAGCATCTTTTATCCAAAACTGTAGCAATAACATTTCAGAATTGGGCAATATTTTCGAAAGACACCCCCCCCCCCAAGGATTAGATCAGCACCTTGTTAGGTACCTGAGGGCAGGGAGGGTAACTAGTTTGAACCCACCCCTAACAGTAGTAGAGTCTATTCTAGAAGTTAATAAGGATCATAAGGATGTTAATTGGGTCTTTTTTACAAAGGCTAACTAAAAACCCTGACGCAAGCATTTTCACATGAAGTGTGCTTTTTCAATATTAGGTTATCTCACCTCCTCTCTCCTTTGTTGCTGATGATCTGCGGGAATTAGAGGGAAACAAAAGAACACTTTACAAACGTAACATTTTAAAATGTCAACCTCACAGTAACACACATTTGGCACGCGTATTAGTCCTTTGTGTGCATGTTAACGTACCGGTGTTGTCAACTGAAGAAGCCTGAACCGGGTGTGGCAAGAGGCAGTTTCCCTTCAGTATCTTCAGCTCAGGGAAAGTCTCCTGGATCTCATCAGTTTGCAGGAGCTTCAGGAAGGCTTGGCAGGTCTCCTCTCCTTTGTTCATGATCTTATCCACCAACTTCACAACGTGGCCCTCATCGTTCTCTTTGTTGATGCTTTTCAGATTGTTGTACTCACGTGGAGTTATCAACTCTTTCTCTTGAACTTTGTTGAGGATTAGCGCGTAGTCTGCACCCAAAGTGTCCACAATGGATGTCTTATTACTTCTCAAAATGTCCTTGGCTGCCATGCTGAATCTGAGAGGGAGAAAAACAACATGCATAGTAAATATACTGGTCTATTTCTTTTCATCATAATCTGGCACCAAAAATAAAGTGTTGTGGTGACCACCTTTAATACACTGGGTTACATAATCCACACGTGGAACTAGAGTGGGGGTATTGTTTCCACACGGACATGTATGTGGTTGTCTATATCAGTGTTTCTCAAACTTTTTCATACCAAGAACACTTAACCAATAAAAAAACACTCGCGGACCACCTAACTCCACAAATATAAAAAAACACATCGTTTTTCTAGAACAGACTACAAATCGCCTGAAAATGGTACAAACAAGTGGCAACATGTGAGATGAAGGTGTTGCGCTGGGCTATGTCATGCAATAAAAAGTTCAACTTAACCACGTTCCATTGTGGAGATATTCCCGTGAGAGTGCGGAAAACTGAAATGTATTTATTTATTTCAAATGTGACATTTTACCAATATACTCACGGACCACTAGGGGGTGCTCACGGACCACCAGTGGTCCACCGACCACACTTTGAGAAGCACTGGACTATATGTATTGTGTGCCCTCCTGTCATCTCTCTTGTCATCCCGGGCTGCGACCCGACAACACCTGCATTTCAATCAATCAATCAATGTTTATTTATAGCCCAATATCACAAATGTTACATTTGTCTCAGTGGACTTTACAGTTTGTACAGAATATCAGTATGACAATACGACACCCTCTGTCCTTAGACCCTCTGTCCTTAGACCTTCTGTCCTTAGACCTTCTGTCCTCAGACCCTCTGTACTTAGACCCTCTGTCCTCAGACCCTCTGTCCTTAGACCTTCTGTCCTTAGACCTTCTGTCCTCAGACCCTCTGTCCTTAGACCCTCACATCGTACAAGGAAAAACTTCCGAAGAAAACCCACAGTTTAAAGGGAACATGGGAGAAAGCTCAGGGAGAGCAACAGAGGAGGGATCCCTCTCCCAGGACGGACAGACGTGCAATAGATGCCGTGTGTAAATTGAAAAGATAATACATTTGCAACATAGGTAGTTCAAATGTTTGGAAATGCATGTGTGTATAATAGGAAGATGAATCCATTTCTGCTGCTCATTAAAGCAAGCTTTGTACCTCCATTGCACCGCCTCCGACTCCCTATCTCTCGGCACTACACTGGTGACCCCGACAGCGTCTTGGGAAGTTTCCGAGACGGACCCGAACATGGCAAAGGAAACTCAGGTTTCTTTCTCGAAATGCCGGGGATTTTTTGGAGTCGACCGTGGCTGCTACAGTCACGCGGACTGAGGCTCGGTGCTCGCCTCGTGGAATGGCTGAGGATGTTGCTCGCCATTCCCGCATCTGCCTTCCGACTACAGGGGGGACGATGCCCGACCTGCTGGGTAGGGATGAACCCGATTGCTACCTCGTGGGGTTGTTTCTTCGGGGCGTGCGGCTGCACGTCCCGGCTGCGCTAGCTAACGACCACTAGCAGCTAACCACATTGGCTAACTACGGCTAGCAGCTACCGATGGCTGCCAGTTAACGGCAACAGCCGTTCTGGTGCCGGAGAGGAGGTTTGACCAGCCGGTTGACCTCGTGTGGACAGTCTCACTTTTTCACCACCTCGACGGCGGTTCCAGACGCCACTCAAGTTTCCATCGGAGCCTGGGTGGTACACTCCTGGACCCAGTCTCGCACGTCGCCCATGCTTCCATCAGCACATGGATGGCGAGCTCCGGGACCCTGTCTGGCCTCTCCTCTGTCCACGGCTCCTTCCTCCCGGGGAGACTGCTCCTGCCCCCCGGGGACCAGGCTCCTTCCTCCTGAGGACTTCATGCCTGCTGCCGCTGTGCCCGCCGCCGCTGTGCCCTCGCCTGCGGCTGGGCAGCGCTCCTTCCTGCTGGGGACCACCGGGTTGTTGACGCCCGTCGCGGTTCAGCGACTCGGCTTTCACCGACTGGCGGGTGATGACTTCATTCGCCACGACGCCTACTGCGGCCCTCTTACGACGGCCCGTTCCGACCCGCCCCCCGCCCCCCGCCCCCCACCCCCGGTGAAGATGCCCTCGCCCTCGTTGGGGCCCCTACCGACGGCCCGTTCCATGGCCCGGCCCTCACCTGCAACCTCACCCTCCTCGGCCCCTGTGATGCTTCCTCCCAGACGCTGGGATTTTTTTGCCATGTTTGGATTCTGGGGGGGCTTGTGTGGTGACCACCTTTAATACACTGGGTTACATAATCCACACGTGGAACTAGAGTGGGGGTATTGTTTCCACACGGACATGTATGTGGTTGTCTCTATATATTGTGTGCCCTCCTGTCTTCTCTCTCTTGTAGAGATGGCAAATCCGGATCATTTTATGGACTCGGAGTCTTCTGAGTCAATCATTGAAGAGATCCGGATCATACGAGTCATTTGAGTCATTTGAGTCATATGAGTCAGCATGACCAAGACCGTAGAAATCCTACCGGTGAAACCGAAAAGTTGTTGCATTTAACCAGCATATTAAACTAACGTTACATTAACCTCCGCTACACAGTGTCTTTTGCTTTAATAAAACATGTGTGTGTGTGTGCATTTTAAAAAATAAGTGTTTTGCATTATATGTATATAGTTATTTTAATATGTTCCTGTACTTAAGCTAATTTTGCACAATTGTGTTTTCATTTAATAATAATAATAATAATAATAATAATAATAATTGTATAATTACATTTGATATATTCTAACTGTTTTGCAATTTTCTATCATTTGTTTCTTTTTGTGTGCCATGTTCAAAATAAACGAGTTTCCAAGTAAGATCCTTATTGGAAATGCAGATATTATTACAGGAGACTGTTGCACAACATGACCATTTTGTTAGAAGTCTACACTGAAACTTAATTTAGAGCCGGAAAAATCGCGGGATCCGTGAATCCAGGTCAATGATCGAGAGAGACCAGTAGCCTACGAGGACTCAGAGCCGTAACTTTTAGCAGGCAGCAGATCCAGAGATCCAGCAGACTCGTCCCCATGCACGAATCTACAGCAGACTCAGCCCCTCCTCCGGCTCGCACGGCTCCCGCGAGTCCCACGGCTCCCTCGACGAGTCGCAGCAGACTCAGAGATTTGCGGACTCACGGCTCACTCACGGCTCACGGCTCACTCACGGCTCACGGCTCACGGCTCACTCACGGCTCCCGCGAGTCCAACGACTCACGGCTCACTCACGGCTCACGGCTCACTCACGGCTCCCGCGAGTCCATCGACTCACGGCTCACTCACGGCTCACGGGACTCTCGCGGGAGCCGGAGGAGGGGCTGAATTTGCTGTTGATTCGTGCATGGCGACGAGTCTGCTGGATCTCTGGATACAACAACGTTGTAATGTGATTGTACACGTTATAAAGAGAGTAAAGAGTGACGCAATTTATGGTTTTAATTGTTACGTCACATCAGGTGTAGGACTCAAAGGACTCGGGTTAATCGAGAGGGAGACTCGTCACGACCGGCTCATTACTAGGATCCGGGTTAATGATCCGGATGAATCATGACTCGCCCATCTCTACTCTCTTGTCGTCCCGGGCTGCGACCCGACAACACCTGCATTTCTGCTGCTCATTAAAGCAAGCTTTGTACCTCCATCGCACCGCCTCCGACTCCCATTCTCTCGGCACTACACTGTATCATTTTTTAATTTACTCACGACTTAAAAGCATCAATAAAAGCAGCAACACCTTCAGAATGAATCCATATCGCTTTAAAGTGAAGTTTATCTAGATTGAATCCATGCTAACCTGCTATCTATTGCTTAATAATCTGAACACACGAGCACAAAGTACCAAACTCCACCCAAATATCTGTGTATTTAACGGAAACGTGGGTATATAATTAACGTTGATTTAAGACTAAACTAGTTCCTAATAAGCTGCTGTGGTTAATGCTGGTGAGTTCTGCATATAGTAAGCTCTGTATTTATCATACATCTCCTCATAAACAGACAACCTGTGCGGCGCGCTCACAGGTACCAATCTCCACTCAACTTGCTGTATATTTAACGAAAACGTGGATATTGATCAAGATATGTGTTGATTTCAGACAGGAGAGTTCATAGTAAGCTGTCTTGGTTACTTCTGATGAATTCAGCTTAATCATTTATCCACTATTAAACATGTATTTTGAATAAATAGCTAAATAAACGTCCCTCTAAAGAGGCGGGAAAACAGCAGTAGTGGGAATACAAGTTGTATAAACATTAATATACTAACAGGTATGTGTGGTGTGTGTACACCGAGTAAAAGATGTGATCCCGTAGATTCCTGTACTCGTGCTATTGAGTGTGTGTTTTCATGTAAACATCTACAGGATCATATAATGCATGTTCTTCCAAAGAGGTCTGGTTCAAAGCACCGCTAACCCTCCTGTTGTGTTCGGGTCTGACCGATCTACTACTTTCATCGATCATCACTTTTTAGTTCTACATTCGACTGCATTAAGGCTTCATGATATCCTTCACAGACATTTGAACATATTTAATGCTGATCAACACTTTCATTGCATTTTGGATGATTTAGTGAACTTTGTAACCGCCCTAAAGAAAAGGAATTGGTCACCATCCGGATCAGATCACACACTCACACACTTCCTGCGCTGGGCAAGGCAACGAAGAATGAAACTTAAAATAAGAAGCAGCATGTTACGGCGCGTTACACACACACACACACACACACACACACACACACACACACACACACACACACACACACACACACACACACACACACACACACACACACACACACACACACACACACACACACACACACACACACACACACACACACACCACACACACCCACACACACACACACACACACACCACACACACACACACACACACACACACACACACACACACACACACACACACACACACACACACACACACACACACACACACACACACACACACACACACACACACACACACACACACACACACACACACACACACACAGAAAACTATTGGATACATTTCCTGCTCTTATGTGCCCATCCCCCTCCATGGATCACACCTGGCACACATGCAGTGTCTGTTCTTTGTATACTTACTGCAGTTGTTCATGTACACCAGTAGTCTGATACATTACAGTTTGAAATGAAATGTGGTGATGATTAATGGTTTTTGTGTTAATGTAATAGCAGTTAAAACAGGACCGGTCAAATTTGACCGCGAACACCAAAGTAAGGGGGAAACGAAGACAACAGCACCATTAAAGAACAAGCTTACCTGCATCAAGTCCTCCGTTAGAAACACCTGGACCGGGCTCCTCTGGGGGGTTTGTATCCCAGAATAGGAGCTGTTTTTCGGCTGCAAGAGTGTGTTTCCCGCTCCTCTGTTCGGAGAAGTGACTCCTTTCAAACTTGACTTTGACTTAAAAGCAAACCTGAGCTGTGACTCACATGAGGGGGCGGGGCCTGATATGTGACTGACAGGAGGGGGCGGGGCCTGAGCTGTAACTGGCAGGAGGGGGCGGGGCCTGCCCTCAGTGATGACTGACAGGCAGGACTCGGTACTACACTACACCTGTATAAATAATGAATTAGTCCAGAGGCCTGACCCCCAGAGGCCTGACCCCCAGAGGCCTGTACGACGAAGCCGGTTCAACCTAACCTGGATATGTTTGAGTTAGCCGGTTGGCCTAATCCAAAACATACGCGCTCTCGCTAAACGGTCCTACGACGCGGGTTATCAAGTGGATCGCTCAAGCCAGCCATGTCCTATCTAGTTAGGTGTTCACATGAGAGGGGTGGTATCTGGAGCATTCGACCAATCACAAACATGGAGAAGCGCACTGACAGCGCAGCGTCATACTTCCTGAATGAAAAGTCAACTCTAATATTAGACATATGAAGAAGTTAAAGTTTAAACATCCATGACTTAAACACTTGATCCAGGATCAGAGCCACAGAGCTGCACCTGCAAGGTGAACACAGCTGGGAACAGAACAAGTGTTTGAATGCGTACATTAACAGCTTTATGATATCACTGCCCGTCTAAGACACCATCTGACTTTCATTACATTTGACTCCAGTGTTTCCTCAACTTAATGTGTTGCTTCAAATAATGCTTCTGCATCCAGTCTGTGACGCTGTGAGTGTTGCACGGCCAGATACGGCTCAGCTGACTCAGATCAGGAGATGATACATTATGAAGTGATATGGACTGTACTTAATGTGACTCTGATCCGGTTACTTATGTTGTGGCAGATATTTCAGTAAGCTTTCTTAACGCTAATGTTATAATAGTCAGATTGCTCTGAAGATGGAGCTGATATTCTATTCATGTTCACGTTCACACAGTCGCTGATTTTTCTAACCTGCTCCGGACCAGGTTAGCCGCTAAGCATCAGTTACCATGGAGATCTAGCCGGGTCAAAAAACACCTGAAATGCCAAAAATCCCGTTTGGATATTTAGTTAAATGAAGAAATAAAGAAAACATAAAATTACTTTTATAACATTTTAGAAATACTAATATTCAATATTAAAATAAATGGAAAATGATTTATTGTAAGATCAAAAATGATGATAAAAAAGAGCAGGAAATTAGAGGTGAAAATGTGTTGCAGGTAAAATCTATTGTTTAAATAATAATCAAATAAAACATTTATATGTATTTCCTCTCGTTTGTCCAGCAGGGGGCGCTGTGGGATCAAAGCTCATTACACTCATGTGTTCATGAATCAATAAATAAATGTTCACCTTTTCAAGTCTTAACGAGAAAATTAACTATGATCTAAAACTCACTTTGTATCATCGAAATATATTTTTAAACTGTTTTCTGAAAATCTCAGAATTATTACTTTTTTTATCAGAAATTATGAGTTTGAGGAAAAAGTCAACATTTTTACCTAGAGAACTACAGGAGAGGGAACCAGAGAGAAGAACAGGGCCTCTTTCACATCCAAACACCAACTCAGAATGAAGGTCTGCTTTGTATATGTTTTTTAATCATCAAACTTATTCTGCTGGAGAGCAAGAGTATCTGAGAGGGTGCAGAAGACTCAGATCACCGGTCCTCTGCTGGAGAGCAAGAGTATCTGAGAGGGTGCAGAAGACTCAGATCACCGGTCCTCTGCTGGAGAGCAAGAGTATCTGAGAGGGTGCAGAAGACTCAGATCACCGATCCTCTGCTGGAGAGCAAGAGTATCTGAGAGAGGGTGCAGAAGACTCAGATCACTGATCCTCTGCTGGAGAGCAAGAGTATCTGAGAGAGGGTGCAGAAGACTCAGATCACCGATCCTCTGCTGGAGAGCAAGAGTATCTGAGAGGGTGCAGAAGACTCAGATCACCGATCCTCTGCTGGAGAGCAAGAGTATCTGAGAGGGTGCAGAAGACTCAGATCACTGATCCTCTGCTGGAGAGCAAGAGTATCTGAGAGGGTGCAGAAGACTCAGATCACCGATCCTCTGCTGGAGAGCAAGAGTATCTGAGAGGGTGCAGAAGACTCAGATCACTGATCCTCTGCTGGAGAGCAAGAGTATCTGAGAGGGTGCAGAAGACTCAGATCACCGATCCTCTGCTGGAGAGCAAGAGTATCTGAGAGGGTGCAGAAGACTCAGATCACTGATCCTCTGCTGGAGAGCAAGAGTATCTGAGAGGGTGCAGAAGACTCAGATCACCGATCCTCTGCTGGAGAGCAAGAGTATCTGAGAGAGGGTGCAGAAGACTCAGATCACCGATCCTCTGCTGGAGAGCAAGAGTATCTGAGAGGGTGCAGAAGACTCAGATCACCGATCCTCTGCACAAGTCCAGAAAACAAAAACAATACAAATAAAATCAACATGGAAAAAGCCACGAGGCGTTCAAAGACCTTCAGGGAGTCCGGGGAAAACGTCCGTCGCTTCCTCTCAAGAGTCGTGACTGCGACACACAGCGGGCGCTCTATAAATATATGCAGTTTAATTATAACATGTATTCTGATTGCTGCAAAGTCTACGAAACAAATATATCTTTATTTATATATTTTCTGTATTTATTTAATCGGACAACTTTTACATTTTTACAAAACATATATATTAATATTTTATAATTTTTCGGGGGAAATTAGAAGTAAATGATGTGTTTTTATGTTTGTTATTATTCCTTAAATATAATAAAATTTATAAAAGAAATACAAAAAAAATCTTGTTTTAGTTTGACGTAATATAAACTATTTCTATTTCTTATTTTTTATTTTACATTCATTCTTTATATTATTGTTATTTCTTCAGCGTTTCTCTGCAACTAACAAACAAACAGCTTTATCATATTTTACAAATATCAAAAATATAATATTTATAATAAATTGATTTAAAGGGAATTTATTTGGACAAAAATTAATTTCAGAAATAATTTTGCTAGAAATTTTTAATTTATTAATTATTTTTGAATACATTTTCCTCCAGCGTCCGGTGTGTCTCTGCAGGGGTCTGAGATCCTGATCAATAGTTCCTCCTGATCGGGGTCTGAGTCTCTCCTGATCGGGGTCTGAGTCTCTCCTGATCGGGGTCTGAGTCTCTCCTGATCGGGGTCTGAGTCTCTCCTGATCAGGGTCTGAGTCTCTCCTGATTTAAAGACATCCCTCCTCAGGACCCCTGTATGACCCCCATGTTCCTCAGGACCCCTGTATGACCCCCACGTTCCTCAGGACCCCTGTATGACCCCCACGTTCCTCAGGACCCCTGTATGACCCCCAGGTTCCTCAGGACTCCTGTATGACCCCCAGGTTCCTCATGACCCCCAGGTTCCTCATGACCCCCAGGTTCCTCAGGACTCCTGTATGACCCCCAGGTTCCTCATGACCCCCACGTTCCTCAGGACCCCTGTATGACCCCCACGTTCCTCAGGACCCCTGTATGACCCCCACGTTCCTCAGGACCCCTGTATGACCCCCAGGTTCCTCATGACACCCAGGTTCCTCAGGACCCCCAGGTTCCTCAGGCTAAAGGCTCTTTGAGCAGGTCTTCTCTCAGTGATCCTGATGTCATGTTAAATGTTTGTTTTTCATGTATTGTGTCAAAGTATTATCGTATCGTATCGTATGACCTCCATGTTCCTCAGGACACCTGAATGACCTCCATGCTGCCAGAGAATCCTCCTCCTCCTCTTCCTCCCCCCTCCTCCCCCCTCCCCTCCCCCAGCTCCATGTGGCAGCTCCGTCTCTTCAGCTGTTTCTCGAAGCTGCTCTCCTCGTGCCAGCTCCGCCGTGAGGCCCGTCCTCCGTCCCCCATCCTGACGCTCCGCCGCTGCACCGTGAGGCCCCCCTGCTGCACCGTGAGGCCCTGCTGCACTGTGAGGCCCTGCTGCACTGTGAGGCCCAGCAGGAGGTCTGAGTGCCAGCCCTTCAACAGGAAGCTGCTCCTCTCTGTGGGGGGGGCGGCTGGAAACCTCCTCTTTATCCGGACTCTGCTCCGACACCTCCTCCACCGGGGAGAACTGACAGGGTTTCCCCTCCTGAAGGATATCATCATATTCACATCAACATCAGAAGTACAAATATAAAGATATACAAATATAAATATATATAAATACCAGATTATTGAATCCGGACGGTTTGAAGAACTCGTCCCCCCCTCGGTGAGCAGCCCCTCCCCCATGCTCTCCGTACGCCTTGATGTCCAATGAGAAGGAGCGCTTGATGCGGGGGGGCGGGTCGCTGAGCTGCAGCGCCTGCAGGGGGGTGGTCAGCGTGCACGGGAGGGTGAGGGGGGGCGGGGCTAACTCCTGCTCACCCCCCGATCCAGACCTCACATCAACTCTCTTTATCCGCCGCTCAAAGTCCAGCAGCTGACCCAGGAAGTTAAAGTTCGGGGAGATGGTCGGACGCTTCTCCTTCACGAACCTGGGGAGCAACGTGCGCTCAGTTACCAGGAAATAAACTATAATACTTACAAGAAAAACCAATCAGATTCAATCAGATCACCTGTAGGCCTTTGATCAGATCACCTGTGTGATCAGATCACCTGTGTGATCAGATCACCTGCAGGCCTGTGTGATCAGATCACCTGTGTGATCAGATCACCTGTGTGATCAGATCACCTGTGTGATCAGATCACCTGCAGACCTGTGATCAGATCACCTGTGTGATCAGATCACCTGCAGGCCTGTGTGATCAGATCACCTGTGTGATCAGATCACCTGTGTGATCAGATCACCTGCAGGCCTGTGTGATCAGATCACCTGTGTGATCAGATCACCTGTGTGATCAGATCACCTGTGTGATCAGATCACCTGCAGACCTGTGATCAGATCACCTGTGTGATCAGATCACCTGTAGGCCTGTAATCAGATCACCTGTGTGATCAGATCACCTGTGTGATCAGATCACCTGTAGGCCTGTAATCAGATCACCTGTGTGCTCTCACCTGTAGGCCTCGTCCAGAGACAGGTCCCTCCTCTTCATGATGTAGGCGATGGCGATGGTGGCGGAGCGAGAGATCCCAGCGAGACAATGAACCAGAACCCGGGAGTTACGGGCTTTCGCTTTCTCTGAAACACCGGGAGAGAAAGGAGGTCGAAATATGAATATATAATAAATAAAAATGTAATCTAATAAAATGAAATGTAGATTTCTGTCTCTCTGAAAAACTCAGGGTTAATATATAATATGAATATAATAAATATAAATGTGTGTCTGACCGATGAAGTCGAGCGAGCGGTCGAGCCACGGCAGGATCTTCTCGCCGAACGAGTCGTTGACGGGAACTCGCAGGAAGTGAGACTCGGGGATGAAGTCGGGTTTGGGACACGAGTTGCTGGCGTTCAGGACGTAAACGACGTCGATCTGCTGCATCAGGTCCTAAAGACACGGGCATACAAGGGTGGGTCAGGGTTACATACTAGAGGGTCTTTGAAGGTCTTTGCAAAGGGGTGCATTCTACAAAACATACCTAATATAGTAAATAATTACTTTACTTTAAGCCACACATGTTTCTAATTTATAAAACATCAAATAACATATTTACAAGAAAAAAAAATAATTTACAAAAACATCACATACGAGATTGATCCCTCACCTGGATGACCCCTCCCCTGGATGATCCCTCCCCTGGATGATCCCTCACCTGATTGATCCCTCACCTGATTGATCCCTCACCTGGATGATCCCTCCCCTGGATGATCCCTCACCTGATTGATCCCTCACCTGGTTGATCCCTCACCTGGATGATCCCTCACCTGGTTGATCCCTCACCTGGTTGATCCCTCACCTGGTTGATCCCTCACCTGATTGATCCCTCACCTGGTTGATCCCTCACCTGGATGATCCCTCACCTGGATGATCCCTCACCTGGTTGATCCCTCACCTGGATGATCCCTCACCTGGTTGATCCCTCACCTGGATGATCCCTCACCTGGTTGATCCCTCACCTGATTGATCCCTCACCTGGTTGATCCCTCACCTGGATGATCCCTCACCTGGATGATCCCTCACCTGGTTGATCCCTCACCTGGATGATCCCTCACCTGGTTGATCCCTCACCTGGTTGATCCCTCACCTGATTGATCCCTCACCTGGTTGATCCCTCACCTGGATGATCCCTCACCTGGTTGATCCCTCACCTGGATGATCCCTCACCTGGATGATCCCTCACCTGGTTGATCCCTCACCTGGATGATCCCTCACCTGGTTGATCCCTCACCTGGATGATCCCTCACCTGGTTGATCCCTCACCTGGATGATCCCTCACCTGGATGATCCCTCACCTGGATGATCCCTCACCTGAATGATCCCTCACCTGATTGATCCCTCACCTGGATGATCCCTCACCTGGATGATCCCTCACCTGGATGATCCCTCACCTGGTTGATCCCTCACCTGGTTGATCCCTCACCTGTTTGATCCCTCACCTGGATGATCCCTCACCTGGTTGACCCCTCACCTGGATGATCCCTCACCTGGATGATCCCTCACCTGGTTGATCCCTCACCTGGTTGATCCCTCACCTGGTTGATCCCTCACCTGGTTGATCCCTCACCTGGTTGATCCCTCACCTGGATGATCCCTCACCTGGTTGATCCCTCACCTGGATGATCCCTCACCTGGATGATCCCTCACCTGGATGATCCCTCACCTGGTTGATCCCTCACCTGGTTGATCCCTCACCTGGATGATCCCTCACCTGTTTGATTCCTCACCTGGTTGATCCCTCACCTGGTTGATCCCTCACCTGGATGATCCCTCACCTGTTTGATTCCTCACCTGGTTGATCCCTCACCTGTTTGATTCCTCACCTGGATGATTCCTCACCTGGTTGATCCCTCACCTGGATGATCCCTCACCTGTTTGATTCCTCACCTGGTTGATCCCTCACCTGGATGATCCCTCACCTGGTTGATCCCTCACCTGGTTGATCCCTCACCTGGTTGATCCCTCACCTGTTTGATTCCTCACCTGGTTGATCCCTCACCTGGTTGATCCCTCACCTGGATGATCCCTCACCTGTTTGATTCCTCACCTGGTTGATCCCTCACCTGGATGATCCCTCACCTGGATGATTCCTCACCTGGTTGATCCCTCACCTGGATGATCCCTCACCTGGTTGATCACCTTGTTGATATAAATATATAAATACATGTTTAATATGAATTCACCTTGTTGAGCACGTCCCTCTGGCAGCCCAGGTAAAGGTGAGGCAGGATGCGTGTCGGCCCGATGTTGGAGACAGGTAAAGAAGGCTGAGACATGCAGGAGGGAACCAGAGAGGAGAAGCCTTCACACAGAGCGGGGAACACCGAGGAGAACCCGGAGAACCCTCCTGAAGAACAGGAGCACACAAACAGCTGCTGATTAAAGGGTTAAAGGACTGTGTCCATGCCCCTCAAACCTCTCGCGCTCTCTCCAGGCACATCACGGCTCTCAGATGTATCAAATATATAAAAACACGTCTCTGATGTGTTTTTCTGAAAATACCAAAGATCGTGCATTTTAGAACCCCCTCACATCCCTCTCTGTCAGCTGTCACTAACGTGCTGATTCTGGGTCTAAAGCTTTAACGGGGGGGGGGGGGTCTCTGATCAGGATCATTCTGCCCAGGTGCAGCTAAAGGCTGCCGTTATTATTATCTTTCTCTCTCAGGTTTTTGTGTGTGTGTGTGTGTGTGTGTGTGTGTGTGTGTGTGTGTGTGTGTGTGTGTGTGTGTGTGTGTGTGTGTGTGTGTGTGTGTGTGTGTGTGTGTGTGTGTGTGTGTGTGTGTGTCAGTAGCGTAGGCAGAAATGTACTTTAGGGTGGGCCTGTAAAAAATAGGGTGGGCCAGATTTCTCTTCTGCGCATCAGAAGCTAACAACAATCCCCGCCGGTACCGGTGGCAGATTACTTTTAGAATACTTTCTTTCCTCATAACAGATGGGTATGTTTTGGTGAACAGGAGACACGTGTTTTACTGTTTAATGGCTTATCAAGAACTCAAACACAACATCTTGGTGTCTGTGGCAGCGGGGTGGGGTTAGGGCGCCGGCTGCTGGAGTGAAGGGAGTGGCTCGGCCGGAGGCCAGACAGCTGATCGGAATCAGGTAATCAGTGCCGGAATAAAAGCATGTCGTAACCTGGTTCTGGTCTGTTTTGCAGTAGGCGGGATCCTGGAAGGGGGCAAAAGGACCTGTGAAGGTTGCCACGCGGGCAACGTTGGAGTAGTGGATACTTTTGTTTGGAGCTAATAAACGCCATATATGTTACACGAACCTGCTCTTCCGTCCATAATTGAACCCTGTGTGAGCGGAGAGGCTCACAGTGTCATTCTGGACAGCTCTCTCATCTGCACCCCACATCAAAAACATCACCCGGACTGCATTCTTTGTACTGTCTTAAAACCTTTCCTCAGAATATGTTATGAATTGTAAGGTGTCCTTGGTGCTTTGAAAGGCGCCCCTAAATAGAATTAATTATCATTATTATTTATTATCTGAAACGATGTTAAAACTGTTTCCAGTCACTTGCATTCAGCAGCAGCAGCCATTCACTTTGATTTGATCCCGTTATGAAATGTCATCATTTCGACAATAAAGAAATGCTTCATAAACGTTATCTTGCACATTTTATCGAACCATCTCCGTTTCTAACTTTCAATATATTTTAAAAGAGATCTCTCTCTCACTGCGTGCGGGGGCGGGGCCTCAGACAAGCTGCACCTCTCTCTCGCTCAGACATGCTGCAGCGCTGTGCAGTGTGCACACAGCTCTGCCGGCAATGAATTACATTTTGTGAGGAAACTTTTCCACCAATAATTCCAATAAGTATTCCAAAATGTATTCACTTCAGGTTCACGAAACTGTAATCAGATTACTCGTTTTTCAAATGTAACGCCAGCTGAATACACTTGATTTTTGTATTCTGATTACGTAACGCCGTTACATTCCGTTACAACCAACCCTGTGTGTATCTCTCCGGTAGTCCACCAGCAGATGAGAAACACACACCTCTCCGCCTCTTCCAAGGGACGAGGGAACCGTGCGGCAGAGTTTCCGTTAACATTATTTTTCTTCTGACAGCCCAGCAGCAGGAGAGGTG